CACGGATTCTTTAAATTCATGGTTTCAGTAAAAAGCTTGGCAGAAGCTTTACGTTAAATGCAATGGCTCCGTACCTCCATAAAACCACACTGAGCAATAATGTAGAGAAATAATCAGATTTATAAAATGAGAAGAATTTGGTTTTAAACTATAAGGCTTATTCTCAGTGTCTATTGTGTATCACAAATTATTGTTCTTTTTGTTGACATGTTGTCCTGAAGAAAAACTGATTTTTTTTTCCTTTCCTCATATTTTTTCATTCTGTGAAAACAATACAACATTTTTAACCCCTTTCTCTTCATTGTGTCTACTCTTGTTTATTTTAATTTGCATTGAAAATTAAAAAACAGTCCTTATAAAGCCCCAGTTTTTTTTCCTTTTGCGTTAGTGCTATTTTTCACACGTCTAATTAACTAATTTCTCTGCCATACTATCACTCTGCATCTTTGCATAGACGTAAAGCTATTCATCTGTATCTCTGCAAAAGAACAGATAATGGAAGTCCCCACCCCTTCCCCAATATTCTAGAAATTCCAAATGATTTAAATTTTTGGATAAACTTCTTAAATGATTTTTTTCAGCATATTAAAATATCAAAACATATACCATAAGTACAAAAAATATTATCGAAAAAATATCAAAATATTAAAAAAAAATATATATATATATAACTTTCTCATAATATTAAATAATTTTAAAAGTGTATCCAAAAAATATTAAATATTTTTGAAGACATATCTTACAATATTAAATTGAGGGGAAAAAAATCTTAAAAATACATTACAAATACTTTTTGCTCCAATATGAATGTATTCATTTAAAAAAAAAAAAAAAAAGTGGTACAATTCAAAGTTTGCATTGAGACCACGAGGTTTCGAATTGCTCTATTATTATTATTATTATTATTATTAATTTTTTTAATTTTCAATAGTAACAAATTAGAGGCCTTTTGAGTTATGTTTTAAGATGTTTTTCAACTTATAAAAAATGTTTCTACAGTGTTCGCCAACTTTTCCATGCAGAGGCTGATGGTCCTACATATTTATAACTGGCCACAGGAACAAGCACATGCATACATTACATTTTTAGAAAAAACAGGTAGTCAAATGTTTTAAAGAATATAAAATGTCTTCATTGTATGGCTCTGTAAAACATGTTATCTGTTGCTCACCCTGTATGTACGATATTGAACATAATTTAAAAAAAAATACATATTTTGATTTATAAAAAATTGGTATGATTAAGATCATCTTTAAAATTATTTGCTAAAATCCATTTTGACTTTTATCTCTACTAACATTTACTTGTGGTTACTTTGGAAGGATTGTTCTTAATTCTTTACTTCAAGAAGATTGGCCAGTATTTAATTTTATTTATTTATTTATTTTAATTAATTAATTTTTTATTTTTTTTACTTTATTGTTTGCATAAAACTTTTTTCAGTTTAATATCGGTTGTTTGTGTTCTCTCCATTGAGGTTATCCTTCTGAAAATGTACTTGTCCAGAGGGTGTGGTGGAACCCAAAAAGGCACCATCAGCTTTGCATCTTAGAGCCAGCTTACATTGGCTCTATTTATGTGAGTTGAAAATTACCACTTGTATCATTGTGTAGTTAAATATTTGTTTTCTTTCTTGTGGAATGAAAATACTCATGCAAATCACTGCAAAAGAACACTAGGTATATTATCACATTTTTTTCACGCTGCACCTTTTTATTTTGCTGTATACCAAAACAACTTTAGCTTAATGAAGTGACAGAAACAAAAGTGATTCAATTCCTAAATGGCAGAGAATAGAGCACTGAGATTGCAGGTTATATAAACCAAAACTGCTTAATTAAAGGGACACTACAGGCACCCAGACTACCTCAGCTTATTAACTTCACCTCTAGGAGCTGTCTACAAAACAGCCACTAGAGGGACTTCCGGCCTGTTAGGTGGGTTTTGGTCACCTAACTGACGCTGGACATTCTCACGCTATGTATGAGGACTTTCAGCATCACCCCATGCTTTCCTATGGGGAACTCCTAATGTGTGCATGCGCATTAGATCTGCCTCACTGGCTGACTTTGGCGCTTACCCATGCAAGTGATAAAAAATAGTTTTTAACCCCTTCTGCACCACGGGAGGAGTGGAGGGGGAGCTATAGTTTCCCTTTAGCTTTGGTTCTTAAAGAATCCCTAACATAGATTTAAAAATAGATGAATTGGAGGATTATAGAGGAGGACTGCATGCTGGGGAAGTATGGAGGAAAGTGCCATTTTGGGTGGTCGCGGAGGCTGATGGCTAGCTGCGCATATAGTAGGCGGGTGGCGAGGGAGCTGTGATGTCCCTGCTCTGCTCCCTCGTGCTCTGCTTAGTGAGACCGGGGCCGGAATATCACAGCTCCTTCGCTGCCCGCCTACTATTCGCACACCTAGCCACTCACCTCCAAGACCCCCCAGAACGCCATCTGTGTCAGGGTATATACCAGTAGGAGACGGCACAAAGAATTAGACAGGTTTCTATGACTTTAGATTTTTTGTTCTGCCGATTAGACCACTTTCTTGTACAGAAGCACGTTTGTTATATACTAATAAAAATTATTTATTTATGATTTCATTTCCCTTCTTAATGTCATAAGCTGAGACTCTTATTAGAGTTTATATTTTCCCAGTTTTCCCTTCCCCCAGGTACACTATTTCTTGTTTATTCATTCCAGGAAAAAAAAACACAATACAGAATTTTTCCAGTTTTGTCGATTATGCTTTAAATTCAATATTTCACTTTTGAAATCATCACAATTCACTGTTTTGTGAATAATCCTCATAATTAGTGTATAGTATTTTTTTGTATATTTATTGTAGTACTGTGGTGTAAATTTGTGGTCAAATTAAGCGGTTAAAGTATGCTAGCTTGGTAAAGGTAGGGGGATATGTGTCAATTTTCTTAGTAACTTACTCCCCTCCCAAGGGATTTTTTTTCATTCTGACAACTATGTGTGAAATATATTGATTTATTTATAGATGTGTAAAACTAAGCTATATAATTTTGCTTGTGAACAAATGGCCAAAATCACGCTCTACAAATATAAAATGTGCTAGTTATATGAAAAATTTATCTGCATGGGCACATGGGTACTAAATATTACAAATCATACGAAACTCGGAAATAATACTAAAATTAACAGATGTCTCAAGCTCCCTTGACAAACGGCTTTCTGAAACGTAGAATAAAATGTACAAATCAAGGTCACAAGTATTTTCAGCTCGATTCAAATAAATGTGTGAATCATACTTCCCATGCACAAAGAGAAAACTTGGAAAATACTGCAAATGGTGACTTGCAAGGTATAATTGTTCTTCATGTGGAAGCAGAAGTCTTAAAAGATGGAACTAAGCAAAAAAATAATTAATCCCTTAATGAAAAATTATCCTTTCTGCCATCATCATGTTAAGCTATGAATAAGCTGTGGTAGCATCAAATGTTCTATTTATATAGTGCTAGACTGAGATAGCGGCAGTTCATACTGTAAGATGAGATTTCCAACAAACCACATTCAGTAGATTTAATGATGGCGTAAATTATTCTTATTACTTAATAATAAAATTCTATCTGTCTGTCTGTCTATCCTATCATTCATCCATCCAATCTATCTGATGATTCATATAGTGCAGAAATGGATTAAGTCCTGGTCTTTACTCTTCGGAACTAAGAGGAAAACCAAAAACAGAGAGAGATATGCTATATCATTCTGATGTCTAGGGGTCCAGCTTTCCTGAGCTTTAAAAAGACGTTAGGTGACAAGAGATAACATTAAATACATATATGTCCAGTAGACCATGTGCTTTTCCATCTTGTACCATGGACCATTGTGACACCTCTATGCCAGTTTACTTGTTGCTTCAATGTATGGTTTATATGAGAGTTTATAATCAAACATTGAACAGATATGATCATGAACACCACATTACCATAATAGCTGACACAGCTTTGTTAACTACGTTCTCTTCTCGGTTTCAGTTGGTCAGGATGGGGTAGATTCACTTTAGCTTTTCCATCTTGAACCATGGACCCTTGTGAAGAGTGTAAAGGATACATTTTGTTTAATTGAGACCTTACTTTCTCTTAGAATGTTGTAATTCTGTTGCTATGTAATTATGCTTGGCGTAGCATTTTGAAAAGCCTTTAGTTGCTAGAAAGGGGTACCTGGTGTACTTATGTAGGAAGTATCATTATCGAGAAACCACATTACTAGCGATGGTGTGGCTGTTCTGATGGCCTTGAGGTCCATCCGGCGATTTAGACAGTGTGTCATCAGCTGGCTCATCTGTGCCAGTTTACTTGTTGCTTTAATGTATGGTTTAAATGCTATCTCTGATGACATTTCTGTGGTCATGTGTGTCAAGAATTGCGGAAATTGAATGAGAGCAACATCCTTTCTTTCCTTTATCTAGTAAATGTTATATGCCGCGACACAGTTTACGAGCATTCTTTCAGTGCCATGTTTAGGACTGTTACCATGTTATAAAATATAGAGGGTGTTGTTTTATTCTTGGCGTTGGAACTGATTTGTGATTACTTTTTTTTTTTTTTAGAAACAAAGTGATTTAACTCCTAAATGACAGTGAATTGAGCAGTGAAATTGCAGGGGAATGATCTATACACTAAAACTGCTTTATTTAGCTAAAGTAATTTAGGTGACTATAGTGTTCCTTTAAATAACAAGGCTTAGTATGGGTAAACTATAGCAGAATTTTCAAGCTAAACAAAACTTTGCATGAGAAGACAAAAAATGCATACAGTAGAATGGAACTTATCAAATGATAGTTGTCTGGATAAAGATTATACCCCGTAGGGATCCGTGTGATAGGCGTGAGAGTCCAGAAAGCATTCGTTAAGGATTATGGAGAAGCAGGGTACTGAAGCATGGTGGTGAGCATGGAGCAGCATACTTACATTTTCCAGGTGTCCTTCAGCCTATGCCTTGCAAGGGCAGGTCAAAGTCCCGGATAGTTGTGCTAATTATCAAGCTCAGCGGTGTGAATACCGCTGAAATAGTACCTTGATGACGGGGCAGATGTTGGGGGGAAATCAGCATTCCACGGTGTGTTGCCATCTGGATGGGAGCTCTCCTGCCCATCTTGTGTGTGCACTGCCGACTTCCAGGTGACGGCGTTGCAGTCCTTGCCGCTTGATGCTGTAGCTGGGCCCTGTACCACGTGTCTGTTGCTGGGGTTCTGAGGTATCTGTGCAGGCAGTAGAGACTTTGGATGCCGTGTGACAGGCAATAGACACTTGTCCTGCAGCTTCTGCTTAATGAAAGTGGTGCCTCTGAAGAATACAGGTGCTCTCCTCCAGATGCATCCGGGGGGATGAGTTCGCCATGTTGGATGTGCCATCTGCGGTAACAGCGGAAATCTCGGCACTGCTGCCATCCTCCCAAGGAGGTAAAGAGCCCTCAGGGCAGGGAGCAGGATCACCCGCGCCAGTCCATGGGGGGTAACAGTGCTTTGGATCCATGAGTTAGTGCGCGTCGGGCCGGGAGATCGGCCGTCTCTCCCCTCCGCAATGCCCACTAGGCCTCACACTCGAGATCCCAGCATATGACCTCTAGATGCAACCCCGGGCCAGTCAGTTGATGCTGGATAGTGGGATGCTTCAGTCAGCTTAAAATAGGAAACCCAATGGTGCCGGCGACTGGGCTTATTTGCCATAAGCATGAGGAGCACTCACAGAACGCGTCCAGTTGCCATTTCTGTCAGGCGTCGCCCCCTTGTGATGACATTTATATAAGTTTGACCAAGTGTTGCATGGCTACTGATTTTCTTTTTGTTCCAAATTTCTTGTTGTAATAGTTCTTATGGTTTACATTTTTATGCAGTTAAATATTTGAACATTCTAATCTGTTCAGTCATGTTCCTTGGTTTGAGTTTTTCCATAAAATAATGCGTTTTGTTGAATCACATCACTACAAACCCTGAACACGTTTTGGAAATCTTAATAAGAATAATATTGGTTTATCTCACTCTGCATTAAATAGTCTACGTATCCTGTAAAATCAAGTTTCATTTCTGAAAAATAACGTTTGATTCACACTTCCACATATAGAAAAAAACTTATAATACTTATATTAAAGGAATTTGGAAAATTTTCAGATATATTTAGCTATATTTAAAGTCTATTTACAGAGTTATCGCTTCTCCATTTTATTTTTTATTTTTATTAAGTAAATCATGACACGGGATAATATGTCATGTGTTGTTGTTCATCTGAGGCTGTATTTACCTAATTTTAAGGCCTGCTAAACAACAGACGATTGTTATTGTATCCTGATTAGTGATGTCCCGAACGGTTCACCGTGGACTCATCATTGAGTAAACTTTGACCCTGTACCTCACAGTTAGCAGACACATTCCAGCCAATCAGCAGCAGACCCTCCCTCCCAGACCCTCTCAACTCCTGGACAGCATCCATTGTGAAGCTGCATTCTTAGTGAGCTGTCCAGGAGGTAGGAGGGTCTGGGAGGGAAGGTCTGCTGCTGATTGGCTGGAATGTGTCTGCTGACTGTGAGGTACAGGGTCAAAGTTTACTCAATGATGAGTCCACGACGAACCGTTTGTGGCGAACCGTTCGCGAACCATCGGCGAACCGTTCGGGACATCACTAGTCCTGATATATAAAAACATAGAATTCAAAGAGGGTGTACTTTCTTTTTTTTACTTTTTCCCATGACTGTATATATAATAGCAATATTGATCTTTGAAAGAAAAATAAAATATACTATAAATATGCAATAGATCCAAATATATGATAGGATCAAAAAAAAAAATATATATATATATATTTAAAATTTCTATCTTTGATAAAACTGTATCAGGAATAGTCTGTGAAGCAGCCGGCACTAAGGAAGTGAGTTCAGAAATATTTATTGTAGGCACTGCATAACTGTATTTGCAACTTGTGCATTGACATCCCATAAGTGTTTTATACCCCTTGTTAAATAAATGGCATGTTTTTACAGAACGCACTATGTTTTTGCGTTTCTTCTCTCTCCAGATTCATAATCACGACTGGGTGTTAATTCTTCCTCATATTTGGTGATCTATTCACTACCTATTATATGGTTGAAAATGACTCATCCCTAGAATCTAACGTTTGATCCTACAATCTATATAATTCATTAGATGTACAATAGCACTCAGCAAGTTGTGTTTCATTTTTGCAGCAGTATCTTCTTACATTATTTCCATCTTAGTGTTTCCTTCGTAAATCATGGCTTATTTGGACATTATTATTATTATTATTATTATTTTATTATTTATTTAGCGCCATCAGATTCTGTAGCGCTGTACAATGGGTGGACAAACAGACATGTAATTGTAACCAGACAAGTTGGACACACAGGAACAAAGGGGTTGAGGGCCCTGCTCAATGAGCTTACATGCTAGAGGGAGTGGGGTATAGTGACACAAAGGGTATAAGTATGGGGTAATGAAATAGATTGCTAGAAAAGTAATCGCTGGGAACTTAGCAGGTTATTTTTGACATTCAGGACATTCTATGGTGGACTTTACATTTCAATCTGTAATTCATTGTTACACACTATTTATTGATCAGTTTGTTGTGTAATTATTTAATATCTGCTTTTTACACACTTTATGATTGTTTGATATCTGATACATCACCCCCTGGTCCCACGTCCATTTCTTTTATGTCTCCGTTGATAAAACTGTGTTTATATTTTAAATTTCAATTGTATTATTTTGTATCATTACCTTTTTTTTTTTTTTTATATAAAATGTAATTGAACAGACTGAGCTGAATTTAGAAGTGTAATTCTGGATTTGGCTAACAGTGGCTTGTGTTTGTTTTATAACAATTTGATGTTAGATTTGTTCCAACATTGTTTTTACTATACAACACTCACTATTGCATAATGGCTTGCAGTTACGATAGTTATTATTGAATGTTATACGCACATTGCATACAAGAACATGTATTGCCAAGGGAATAAGCAGACGGGGAGTTACTCTTTAAATTTTTAATAATCAAATATGTATTCATATACACAAGTCAATGGGGAATTGAATGGTGATAAAGCTGTTTTATCGCAAACCAAGACTCAAACCATTTTCCTATAGCGCTTGTAGTGTCTCTTTAAATAGTTAGCAATTCAATCCATATTACTGAAAGAATATGTATGAGTTGCGCATTTGCAACAACGTAACAAAAGGAACATGTTATGCAAGATTTTGTTTAATTTACTAAGAACAGAAGAAACTGTTTGTTACAAAAGCAATGCAATATTTTGAACACATTGCACAGCAATTAGTGCCGAAGAATATTTAAATTCATTTTATTGTTTGGCAATATATTTCCACTAATGACATATTACCACTTAGATTTTAGAAGGCGTGAAATGATTATGGATTCTTAAGACTTTGTCATTGCCCTTTGTATGGAAGCATTTTCATACACTTTCATTATTTTTATTATTTATTCTTTATTTAATGTATTTGTTCCCGGTGTTTTATAAAGATTAGTAAATACAGACAGTCAGCATGAAAAATCATAAGCATTAACCCCTTAAAGACCAATGTCAGTAATCCCACCATAACAATCTGCAGCTCAATTTACTGAATCCTGACAAGCGTTTTCTTTATTTTGGGTGGGTGGGTGTAGGTGGCGTCACAGCAAAGTTATTCCAAAATTGCTATTTATTAATTAACATAACTTTCTGCATTGCAGTTAGTAAAGGGTTCTGTCTGGAGAATGGCCATAGCGTGCCACAGAAACCACATTGTCATTTGGTATTCAAACTACTTCAAGGACTCCAAAAAAATAATAATTTTTAATTGCTTAAATGCTATTGTAAATAAGACAAAGTGTAAGGTCTCACTAGTCGAGCACCTACAGTTAACCATTTCAGTGCGTCAGTAGAGAGCAATGTGGCAATGAAAGTAAAAGTAAAATAAGTTGTATCTGCTGAGCATGCTAATTTTATAATAAGAGAGACAAAATCGTCTCCCTTAATGAGAGAATACAATTAAAATATATATATCATGGAGTGCCCACAGGAATCCCCATGAAAAAGGAGAGGCCAAGAGAAAGACCTGCCCTTGTTTTACACCCCATGGACTGTGGGTTGGAGAGTAATAATACATTTGACCCAGTTTCTTGGGCCCAAAAAATGTCCTGCATTAGGGCTCATGATGGTCAGTCTGCTGCCCTTGTATAAGATATATAAAGGCTCTGACCCAATGAATCCATGTTTGGAATGCTCAGTTAAAGCACTGTGATTGGTTGACTTGGAATTAATCAATCACATCACTCTAACAGACAGGTTTCACTTCTCCCAAGACACGTTCAGTAATTTGGATAGGTGTATGGACCCTTGCTGGTACATATATCCAAATATATAACTGCGCCCACGAGATGAGCATCTGTATAAATTGATGCAATATAGGTTTGAACATTCTAAATGAGAATAATAATAATAATAATAATAATAATAATAATGTGACGGTAGTCACCATCACTGGGGATGGAAGACAGACACTATGGGTGTGCTCCCAAATTCCTTTTGTGTTTTTTCACATTGTGCCTATTATTTGTGCAGGGTATTGCTAGTCTGTGCATCTCCCCTCCCCTCTTTTTCCTGTCCTGTTGTTTCCCCATCAGGACGTTGTCCCAGGGACACTGCCAGACCAGTTTAATCTATCTGCTCTGTCCCTCCTCAATCTCCCATCAGCCCTTGCTATTGTCTGACCCCGCCCTTCCTTGTACTATAGTAATCTATGTAACCTATTATATGTAAATGAGGCCGTTGGGGGCTTAAACTATGTGTGCTTAATTCATTAAAGAGTTGCTGTTTAACCTTCACCATGTGTCGTCTGGTGTTTGGTCCAGGGTGGAAAAGGCCCTAAGTGATCCCAGTCAAGCCTCGGCGTCTGGGTCTGAAGTGTTTCAGGGTCCCTGATAGCTACAATGAAGCAGACTTGGCGGAGGTACTCGGTCGGAGTACTGGAGCTCTGTTACAAATAATAATAATGATAATAATAATTTTGACAGTTGAAAATACAGCAGTCACTGCCACATGGTGATAAGTGAATTCCGAGTGAGACTACAGCATACTCTCTCTAATATTGCAGTTGTTGAGTGCAATAGCCTCTAGTCTCTGTCATTTTATAGCCAGTAACTTAGTACTGTGAATATGGCAGTTGGTCAGTATACTTGTGTCTGTTAATTGAAAGAACCCACTGCTATGACTACCGTGACAATGACGATGACTTGTTACAACAGCCAATGTTAGATGATGGCATTTTATCTGTCACTGTAAATATGGCAGTTGGTCAGTACACGTGTGTCTGTTAATTGAAAGAACCCACTTCTATGACTA